CCCCTCCCCCCCCCCGCTGCAAGCCGAGAAGGAGAAGGAGAGCCCCACGGAGCTGGCAGAGAGGTGCCTGCGGGAACTGCTGGGCCGGGCGGCCTACGGGAACATCAAGAACGCCATCAAGCCCGTCCTCATGTGAGTCACCAGCCTCTGGGTTGCTGGCGCCAGGGAAACTGAGGCACGGAGGAGCAAGGCAGGGCTGGGGGGAGAGCACGGACACCTCTCAGCGTGGCACTGGAGGTGGGGGCTGGTTTGTGGGCTGAGCTCTCGTTTTTTGGATGCATTGAGGAAGGTGGCAGGTGGTCGTCCCCCTGTGCTGGGCGCTGGTGAGATGGTACCTCAAATCCTGGGCTGAGTTTTGGGCCCCTCACAACAAGAAGGACATGGAGGGGCGGGAGTGTGTTAAGAGAAGGGCAGTGGAGCTGGGGAAGGGTCTGGAGCACAAGTGTGATGAGGAGCAGCTGAGGGAACTGGGGGTGTTCAGCCTGGAGAAAAGGAGGCTGAGGGGAGACCTTCTTGCTCTCTGCAGCTGCCTGAAAGGAGGTTGGAACTGGGGGGGGTTGGTCTCTTCTCCTAAGGAACAAGCCATAGGGGAAGAGGAAAGGGCCTCAAGCTGTGCCAGGGGAGGTTTAGATTGGATATTGGGAACAATTTCTTCATGGAAAGGGCTGTCAAACACCAGCCCAGGCTGCCCAGGGCAGTGGTGGAGTCCCCATCCCTGGAGGGATTTCAAAGCCGTGTAGCTGTGGTGCTGAGGGACGTGGTTTAGTGGTGGCCTTGGCAGTGCTGGGGAGTGCTTGGCAGTGCATCAGGTTGGACCTGATGACCCTAAAGGTCTTTTCTAAGTAGTTTGATTCTGTGATTCTGCGGGGATAGATACATATCTCTGAGAAAAGTCACCTCAGAGAGGACTTTGTGTCCTCTATACTGCGTCCAGTTCTGGGCTCTCTAGTTCAAGAGCCAGGGAACTACTAGAGAGAGTCCAGCTGAGGGCAACAAAGATGACTGGGGGATTGGAGCATCTCCTGTATGAGGAAAGGCTGAGAGAAGTGACCGGCACCGCCGTGGCTGGGGCTCTGCTGCTCTCCCCCCGCCTGCCCGCGGCTGCACAGGCTCCGCGCTGCTCTCATCGCCCTCCTCTGCGTTCACAGCCGCTCCCCCTCCCCGCTGCAAGCCGAGAAGGAGAAGGAGAGCCCCACGGAGCTGGCAGAGAGGTGCCTGCGGGAACTGCTGGGCCGGGCGGCCTACGGGAACATCAAGAACGCCATCAAGCCCGTCCTCATGTGAGTCACCAGCCCCTGGGTTGCTGGCGCCAGGGAAACTGAGGCACGGAGGAGCAAGGCAGGGCTGGGGGGAGAGCACAGACACCTCTCAGCGTGGCACTGGAGGGGGGGGCTGGCTGGTTTGTGGGCTGAGCTCTCGTTTTTTGGATGCATTGAGGAAGGTGGCAGGTGGTCGTCCCCCTGTGCTGGGCGCTGGTGAGATGGTACCTCAAATCCTGGGCTGAGTTTTGGGCCCCTCACAACAAGAAGGACATGGAGGGGCGGGAGTGTGTTAAGAGAAGGGCAGTGGAGCTGGGGAAGGGTCTGGAGCACAAGTGTGATGAGGAGCAGCTGAGGGAACTGGGGGTGTTCAGCCTGGAGAAAAGGAGGCTGAGGGGAGACCTTCTTGCTCTCTGCAGCTGCCTGAAAGGAGGTTGGAACTGGGGGGGGTTGGTCTCTTCTCCTAAGGAACAAGCCATAGGGGAAGAGGAAAGGGCCTCAAGCTGTGCCAGGGGAGGTTTAGATTGGATATTGGGAACAATTTCTTCATGGAAAGGGCTGTCAAACACCAGCCCAGGCTGCCCAGGGCAGTGGTGGAGTCCCCATCCCTGGAGGGATTTCAAAGCCGTGTAGCTGTGGTGCTGAGGGACGTGGTTTAGTGGTGGCCTTGGCAGTGCTGGGGAGTGCTTGGCAGTGCATCAGGTTGGACCTGATGACCCTAAAGGTCTTTTCTAAGTAGTTTGATTCTGTGATTCTGCGGGGATAGATACGTATCTCTGAGAAAAGTCACCTCAGAGAGGACTTTGTGTCCTCTATACTGCGTCCAGTTCTGGGCTCTCTAGTTCAAGAGCCAGGGAACTACTAGAGAGAGTCCAGCTGAGGGCAACAAAGATGACTGGGGGATTGGAGCATCTCCTGTATGAGGAAAGGCTGAGAGAAGTGGGACCTTTTAACCTAGAGAAGAGAAGGCTGAGGGGGGACCTTATTAATGCCTTTAAGTATCTACAGGGTGGGTGCAAGGAGGATGGAGCCAGACTCTTTTCAGTAGTTCCCAATGACAGGACAAGGGGCAACGTGCACAAGCTGGAACATGGGAAGTTCCATTTAAATATGAGGAAAATCTTATTTAGGGTGATGGTGACAGAGCACTGGGACAGGCTGCTCAAGGAGCTTGTGGAGTCCCCGTCTCTGGAGATATTAAAGACCTGCCTGGATACAGCCCTGAGTAATGTGCTCTAGAGGATCCTGCTTTAGTGGGGCAATTGGACTAGATGGTCTCTAGAGGTCCCTTGCAACTCATAGAATTCCATGATTCCGTGATTCCTGCCTTCGCCTGCAGTGTTTGCTTCCCGCTGCTTCTTCCTGTCTCTGGTACTTGGTGCTGCTTGGCACCCCTGCAGGGTTTGGGGCACTAACAGTTACTTTCTCCTCCCTTTCCATCTCTTCCCCAGCCATCTGGATAACCACTCGCTCTGGGAGCCCAAGATCTTTGCCACTTGCTGCTTCAGGATCATCATGTACTCAATCCAGGTGGGGACCCGGTGGGACTATGATGGGTGGCACAGGTTAGGGACACACGTGCATGGCTAGGAAGTGCCAGCATCCATGGCATCTCTGTGTCCTGGCCATGAGCATGTCCACCAAATGTGTCCCAAAACAGGCTGGAGATGGGCAAGGTCCAGGTGTATGGCAGCATGGGCCAGGGACATGGCTCTGGGCCAGCCCTGTGTGGCTTAGGATGCAGCTCGTGGAGTTTTTATCCCAGTCTTGGGAGTGATTCGTGCTCTCTCAGTGAAGAACCAAGCCCTGCTGAATCAGACAGGCTGGCAGCACGTTGGGGGATGCTCCAAAGGAAGCAGATGGGCTCTGATGGAAAGCTGCCTCTTTCCAGATCGCTGTAAATCAATGCAAGCTCCTTGTCCCTGTGGGAAAGGAGACGATGACAGGTCTCCTGGGCAAACCAGGCATTGCAAAGGCACGTGCAGCCCAGCATCCCCCTCCTCAGATGCAGGGATGCTCAGAGACAAACCCTGCCAGGCTCTCCTAGGGAAGCTGTGGCTGTCTCATCCCTGGCAGTGTTGAAGGTCAGGTTGGATGGGGTTTGGAGCAACCTGGTCTTGTGGGAGGTGTCCCTGCCCATGGCAGGGGGGTTGGAACTAGATGATCTTTAAGGTTCCTTCCAACCCAAACCATTCCATGATTCTATGATTCCCTTCTCACTGGGGGCTGTGGAAGTGCAGTGATGGCAAAAGGTCCATACTTTCCATTTTCATATGGATCTCAAAGAAACTCTTTGTCCATGGGCATGGTGCTGCCTTCCTACTCTGCTCCTACTCTGCTGGGGCTGTCTCAGACCTGCTGCCCCACTTCCCTTTCGGAGTTCTGTTCACTTTTGGGCTCAGCCAAGTCACAGCTTTGCTTGGAGAACTCTTCCATTGAGAAGCAGATATCCACCCCCACTCTCACTTCTTCTTTTTAATCCTGTAAACTGCCTAAAACCCTTTACAGCATTACTACATTGTATAAAATCCCATTAATGCATATTGGCAGTGTAAGGGCACAATAACTCAGCAGGACCACTTTGAAGTATAGAAGTGTTTGGAAAACCCTGGCAAAAATCAAATCCCTTCTCCCTGAAATCCCCTGGATTAATTGTCACCATTTCCTCAGATCTGTACAGCTTTTAGATCATTATTCCCGGAGAAATTGCTCCAAGCTTTTGCTCAGTCATGTAGTACAGGCTTCATCCAGGTGCCTACTCTTATTTTGCATCTGGAGCTGTCTCAGAAACAGACGGGGACTCTGGGTGCGGGTGCAGGATTCGTCCCCAGTAGCTGTGTGGGTGCACAGGTTGTCTCTTCTTGTGTCCAGCACTCGTACTGATCCTACTGTTCTCTTTCCAGCCGCAGCATTCCCATCTTGTGATCCAGCAGCTCCTGGGGCACCTGGATGCCAACAGCAAGAGTGCAGCCACCGTGCGTGCGGGCATCGTGGAGGTCCTGTCTGAGGCAGCTGTGATCGCAGCCTCTGGATCCGTTGGTAGGTGGATCGGTGTGTCCTCTCCATCCCATCCCTTCGGTAGTGGTGGGAGAGGTGCTGGAGGTTTGGCCTGGGCTGGTGTCTCACCACCCTCACAGCAAAGAATTTCTTCTGAAGATCTCATCTCAGTCTCCCATTTTGCAGCTTGAAACTGTTCCCCCCTTGTGCCATCACTCCGGGGGAAGCTGCTGGGGGTTAAAAGTCCCTGTGTCCGGTGGTGGGAGGTAGTAACCCCAGGGACCTGGGGGAAACTACAGCCTCCAGCTCCACGGGTAGAACTGCCACCGTCCTGCAGTGAGGCTCCACCATCTCTGCCCTCTCACCCCCCAGGCCCCACGGTGCTGGAGGTGTTCAACACCCTGCTGAGGCAGCTGCGGCTCAGCATTGACTACGCCCTGACCGGGAGCTACGACTGCGGCACCGGCATCAGCACCAAGATTATCAAGGAGCACGAGGAGAGGATGTTCCAGGAAGCTGTCATCAAAACCATAGGTGAGATGTCACAGAATCATGGAATCCCAGACTGGTTTGGGTGGAAGACTGTCCAATTCCAACCCCCTGCCCCTGGGGGGACACCCCCCACTAGACCAGGTTGCTCCAAGTCCCATCCAACCTGCCCTTCAACACTGCCAGGGATGGGGCAGCCACAGCTGCTCTGGGCAACCTGGGCCAGTGTCTCACCACCCTCACAGCAAAGAATTTCTGCCTCAGATCTCATCTAAATCTCCACTTTTGCACCTTGAAACCATTCCCCCCCATCCCATCACTACATGGCCTTGTCAAAAGTCCCTCCCCAGTTTTCCTGTAGCCCCTTCAGGTCCTGGAAGGTGCTCTCAGATCTCCCTGGAGCCTTCTCTTCTCCAGGCTGAACAATACTAACTCTCTCAGCCTGTCTCCAGAACAGAGCTTATCCAGCCCTCACATAATCTCAGTGGCCTCCTCTGGACTCACTCCAACAGCTCCATGTCCTCCTTGTGTTGGGGACCCCAGCACTGCAGGGGGGTCTCACCAGAGTGGAGCAGAGGGGGACAATCCCCTCCTGTGTCCTGCTACTCACATTACTGGGGATGTCCTGCAGCACTCAGAGCAGGGATGGCCTTTGCTGGTGGGTGACCCTTTGCAGTGGGTTTCTGCCTTGTGCATCTGCGGGATTATCCCGGATGAAATTTAATCAACCTTTGTCCTAAAAGCAATGATGGGAAATGAGATTAATCTTTTCTCTTGTGGGTTATCAGCAGATGGCATTGCAACCTTGGCCATCCCAGGCTAAGCTGCTGTGCACAGGCAGAGTCCTTCTTTCTTCTTGGGTAGGAGGTGCTGAGGAAGGGAAGGAGATGAGGGAAAGTGGGCAGGCATCTGCCTGAGGATGGGGATAGACCAGCCCCCAGAAAAGAAGAGGTAGAGGCAAAAATTTGCATCTCTCAGACTCACCCAGCCTGCACCTGGTGCTGCCCCACTGGGAGGTGATTTTATGCATCTTGAATCATAGAATCATCAAATCCCAGACTGGTTTAGACTGGCAGGGACCTGCCATGGGTAGGGACACCTCCCACTAGACCAGGTTGCTCCAAGCCCCATCAACCTGGCCTTCAACACTGCCAGGGATGGGGCAGCCACAGCTGCTCTGGGCAACCTGAACCAGGGTCTCACCAGCCTTATGGTGAAAAATTTCATCCTAATGTCTAGCTCAAATCTCCCCCGTTCCAGTTTAAAACCATTATCCCTTGTAACGGGAATCACTCCGTGCCCTTGTCAAAGGGGCTTTCTTGTTTGGAAAAGACCGACTGTTTGCGTTGGAAAAGACCTTTAAGATCAAGGCCAACAGTTAGTTCAGTACTGCCAGGGCCACCACTGATCACCTGAAGGTAAAGCTGCCTGTGTATCCTGGATCCAGGCAGACTGGACCCCATGGTGGTCCAGTAGCCAGCTTGCAGCAGAGCAAGTGGACACACCCCATGGTCCTGGGTGCTTCTGGGGGTGGTGGGTTGCACCTTGCATGCCACCAGCTTGCTCTTGTCCCCACAGGGTCCTTCGCCAGCACGCTGCCCACCTACCAGCAGTCTGAGGTGATGGTTTTCATCATGAACAAGGTGCCACTCCCCTCCTCGCAGCAGCCTATCGAGGCCGGCAAAGCTGGGTGAGAACCGATGCCTTCTTCTGTCTTCATCCTCCCCCCTGAAACTACCCCATGTGTTGGAGTATCAGGCTTTCAACACAGAGCTGAGTGCTGGGGAGTTCCTGAAACCATACCCACCTTGAGGTGGCCTTTGGAGACCGAGTGGGACATGGGCTTATTACCAGAAAGGCTGAGCATCGAGAGCCTCCATCAAAGTCTGAGGGCAGCTGAGCAACGTGCGAGCTCTGTTGGAAATGCTTTGCTGTGTGCTGCAAGTGTTGTGCTGAGGGCCCCTTGCAACACCCCAGCATCAAGGGGGAAAGGTGTTTGCAGGTGCTACAGGTGACCTCGGTGTTTCTTCAGGTACCTGCTGAGCAATTCAGCTCTCAGGAGCTCAGTCGCAGGGTATCATCTGAAACTAGCCAGGAACTAAAAATTATAGTCGGGGGAATGACTTCAGGTGGCTCAGGGCAGCGAGGTGGCCATTCTGTCCGTGGCTCTTGAGAAGTTCATGTTGGGCTTGGTGGGACTGGCTGTGCATGGCTTCCTCCTCCCACTGATGCTGCCTCTGAGCTTTTATTAACACTGAGCGGGAGGAGGTGATATTTATACCCAGCAGTGGAGGAAGAGAAGGAAGGGAAAACACCCAAACAACATAATTGCTTCAGAAGTGTGGGCACAGACCATGAGAGCTATTTGGAGCGAGGGTATCAGAGCAGAAACACGTAGGTAAGGAGCAAACAGATTTTCATGCTATATTTATCTTCAAAGGACGGTCAGGCTCTTCCCACTTGTCTCCAATGGGAGAGAGACAGTGCCAGTGGATGGGAGACACACTCTGCTCCTCACTTGCAGGGGGGTAATTCCTGATGCTTGCGTTACATCCTGGTTCACATGGTGGGAGACACCCTGGGTGCTGGGTGCTGCTCAGCCTTGCTGCAGGGGCAGAATCAGGCTCGTAGCCCCAGGGTGACAGTGGCTTCTTGGTGCCAGGCTGTTTGTCACTGCTTCTTTATCAGCTTCTGAGATTCTTCCGTGAGTTTTTACATCTCATCCAATGCTGTGTGAAGGCTGGTGCTTGCCCTGGGGGTGCAGGTGAAGCAGGTGATTGGAGAGGAGCTGCAGCCTACAGGTCTGCTTCTTGAATCCCAGACTCATTTGGGTAGGAAGAGACCTTAAAGACTGTCTAGTCCCAACCCCCTGCCATCGGCAGGGACACCTCCCACTACACCAGGTTGCTCCAAGCCCCATCCAACCTGCCCTTCAACACTGCCAGGGATGGGGCAGGTACAACTACTTTGGGAAACCTGGGCCAGTGTCTCACCACCCTCACAGCAAAGAATTTCTTCCTCAGATCTCATCTCAATCTCCCCTCTTGCAGCTTGAAACCGTTCCCGCTTATCCCATCACTCCCTGCCCCTGTCAAAAGCCCCTCCCCAGCTTTCCTGGAGCCCCTTCAGGTCCTGGAAGGTACTCTAAGGTCTCTGCAGAGCCTTCTCTTCTCCTGGCAGAACAACCCCAACCCTCTCAGCCTGTCTCCAGAGCAGAGCTGCTCCAGCCCTCTGATCATCCTTGTGGCTTCCAGGGATGTTGCCATTTGCAATACAACTCAGTCCTACCCTGGGCAGAGGTAGGCAGCATGTCATGGAACCGCCTGGAAATCCCTTGGGAGTTCACTGTGTCCCCTCCAGGCTAGGAAGGAGTATCAACAGCCAGTAGAGAATTCAAGATTTCATCTTTTTTTTTTTTTTCTTTTTTTTTGTGCTTAAACCCACACACACAGCTGAAATGGAAGAGTGGCTCGTGGTGGCTTTGCAAGAAGCAAGATGGGTGCAAGGAGCAGGGCTTCCTCCATGGACTGGAGGGCTTGGGCTTCATCTTGCCAATTTTCAGCTGCTTAAAAGCGGGGAGCCTCTTCAGATCCAGTGCCTGGGATCCCCTGGGAGTCACTCTGGGATGGGGACGTCCAGAGGTTGGTTCAACACCCTGAACTCAGCTTGGTCCTGCCTGGAGATGTGATTGCTGCCTTGTTCCTGATGCCTATGGCAGGACCTAGGGTTGAATATTCATCATTCCTTGAGCAGCCTTTTTGTTGACTCTTTTGTCTGGACCTCATTTCCTGGAGATCTTTACAGCATGGCTGTTTGTGGTGGGGACTCTCGGGAAACTGGTCCTGCCCTTTCTGAGGCTTTTCCATCCTTTGGGTATGGAAGGAGGGTTCTTGTTGTTCTCACTTGGATTTTACCATTTTTTTCCTCTCTTTATGACAGGGAGAACCGGAATAGGCTAACACAGATCATGCTCCTGAAGTCCCTCCTTCAGGTATGAGCATCACCATCCTCACAGGATCCAACTCCCATGAGATCCATGGGGTTCCAGCTGCTGGCACAGTAGAGCTGAGCTCAGGGGCCCTCTACCCTGGAGTGGTTTAGGAAGAACTCTTAAGTTCTTCTTAGTCCTCTGTGCTTTCATCCCCTCGACTTTGGTGTGTTTTAATGCCCCTCAAGTGACACTGTCACATTGTCTCCATGTGTCTTCAATGCTTGCAGGTCTCTGTGGGCTTCCAGTGCAGTAACATGCTCACAGCACTTCCCAGCGCCTTCCTGGACAGACTGCTCTCCGCAGCCCTCATGGAGGACCCCGAGATCCGCCTTTTTGTCCTGGAGATCCTCATCAGCTTCATCGATCGTCACGGGAACCGGCAGAAGTTTTCCACCATCAGGTATGTCCTGAGGGCTCCCTGGCAAGACTGGCACCTGCAGGACAGAGTTGGGAGGGAGAGCTGCTGGGCTGAGAGCACTGGCAGGGTTATGAATAAATCTGGTGCTGGTTCTGGTGTGGTTTAATGCAGTGCTGGGCACTCCTGTTTTCCATGCTGCCTTACCTTGGAAGAAGGTGAGGGTAATCCTAGATGGAACCATTTCCGTAGGTTTTGCTGAGGTCCTGCTAATCCGCTTTATTTGCCCTCTTCTTTCTCAACTTGCCTTTGTGTTCCTGAGCGCCACTGCCTGGACATCCTGTAGTGATTTGGCTCAGTCCTCTGGAATATCTGAACTGTCCAGATGGGTTTTAAAAGCCAATTTAGCTTCCCACCCTCGGTTCCTCCCAGATGGCTCATTCCTGGCGTGCGGGAATCTCGCCTCCTCCTTCCAGCATCTGAGTGTTCCCTTCCCCTTGGCCTTTCCTTGCAGCACCATCAGCGACATCTCGGTCCTGAAGCTGAAAGTGGACAAATGCTCGCGCCAAGATACTGTCTTCATGAAGAAGGTAGTGTCAGGGTCTGGGTGAAGCTGTCCTTGTGCAGACCACCAGGACTGTGCCTCAGTTTCCCAGAGCACCATGATGCTTCTAAACCTGAGGATGTCCCTGGGAAAAGCCAGTGGGATTCAATCTCCATCAACGCTTCATGCATGGGCCTTTTCTAGACTCCTAAATCCATGGTTTGCCCCAAGGAATGAGTACCCCAGGGTGTGCTGGTATCCCAAAAGCTAGTTATCAAGTAGCTTTTGAAGTTTGGAGGTCCCTTTGCTGGGCCCTACTGCATTTCTTTCCCTGTGTTGATGGCAATATTGCTCGCAGGGGATGCTCAGGAGGTGACCACATCTCTCCATGTCCCCACAGCACGGCCAGCAGCTCTACCGGCACATCTACTTGATATGCAAGGAGGAGAGCAACGTGCAGGCTCACTACGAAGCTCTCTTCAGCATGCTGATGCTCATCAGCATTGAGCTGGCTAATGAGGAGGTCGTGGTGGACCTCATCCGCCTGGTGTTGGCAGTGCAGGTATGCAGGGTGGAGCTGGGTGTGCTCCTGGTACAGACTGCCACAAATTGGGTGGGCTGGGATGCAATGGGAAGGAGGCTCTGGGACAAAGGTTTTGGAGTTGGGGTCTCTGGGGAAGGGGGATGCAAGTGACTCAACTGCTTTCAGCTTCTCCCACAATAGTGGGATGAAACCAACACACTGGGGAAAAACCCAAGGAAGGCCACAAAGATGATGCAAGGGCTGGAGCAGCTCTGCTCTGGAGACAGGATGATAGAGTTGAAGTTGCTCAGCCTGGAGAAGAGAAGGCTCCAGGGAGACCTTAGACCACCTTCCAGGACCTGAAGGTGCTACAGGAAAGCTGGAGAGGGACTTTTCACAAGGGCATGGGGTGATAGGATGAGGGGGACTGTTTTCAAGCTGCAAGAGGGGAGATAGAGATGAGATCCTTGGAAGAAATTCTTTGCTGTGAGGGTGGTGAGACCCTGGCCCATGTTGCCCAGAGCAGCTGTGGCTGGCCCGTCCCTGGCAGTGTTGAAGGGCAGGTTGGATGGGGCTTGGAGCAACCTGGTCTAGTGGGAGGGATCACTGCCCATGGCAGAGGGTTGGGACTGGATGATCCTTAAGGTACCTTCAGACCCAAACCAGTATGGAATTCTGTGAAACCCTAGTTGCTTTGTCAACATCTGAAATGCTACAAACCCGTGCTCCAGAAGCTGGGGGTGTTTTTAGGGCAGGTGACACCACGAGGTGGATGGAGACCACACTGGGGCCCTGTTCATCCTCTTCTCACAGGGCTGTGTCTCTTTTGCAGGAGATTGCCCAGATCAACGAGGACAACTTGGCACCGTACAACCGCTGCGCGCTCTTCGCCCTCGGTGCAGCTTATCTCAACCTCATCAGCCAGCTCATCACCGTGCCCACCTTCTGCCAGCACATCCATGAGGTGTGAGGGAGGATCTGGGGACAGGGTTGGAGCCTTGTCCGTGGCAGCTCTGGCATCGGCTGTCCTGGCCATCCCTGGGGTTTGAGCTTGGCTCCTTGCTTGTCTTCTGCAGGTCATCCAGATGCGGCAGAAGGAAGCTCCTTATCTGCTCCCTGAGGATGTGTTTGTGGAGAAACCCATGTAAGAGCCTGAAAGATGCCTTCTTTCCCATTAACAGGTCCTGAAGGGTCAACATCCCTAATATTGTGGACAATTATGAGTTTATCAGCCCTTCACTTGCCTGTGCTTTTCTACTTTCTCATCTGGGGATGGCACAGTGGGAAGGGCATTGAGTGGTTCTCAGCCTGTTTAAAGTCTGAGAAGCATGTAGCCAGGGAAGGAGGTGGCCACCACAGCTTGTGCTCACAGGCAGGCAAATGCCAGGATGAGCTCTGCAGGCTGGTCCCTCCCCTTTTCTAACACCAGATGGGGTTGGTCATAGAGTCATGGAATCATTTTAGTTGGAAAAGACCTTTCAGATGCTCAAGTCCAACCATCACCCCAGCACTGCCAAGGCCACCAACAAACCACATCCCTCAGCACCACAGCTACATGGCTTTGAAATCCCTCCAGGGATGGGGACTCCACCCCTGCCCCGGGCAGCCTGGGCCAGGGCCTGACAACCCTTGCCAGGAAGAAATGGTTGCCAATATCCAATCTAAACCTCCCCTGGTACAGCTTGAGGACATTTCCTCTTCTCCAATGGCTTGTTCCTTAGCAGAAGAGACCAACTTTCCCCTGGCTCCAACCTCCTTTCAGGCAGCTGCAGAGAGCAAGAAGGCCTCCCCTCAGCCTCCTTTTCTCCAGGCTGAACGCCCCCAGTGCCCTCAGCCTCTCCTCATCACACTTGTGCTCCAGCCCCTTCCCCAGCTCTGCTGCCCTTCTCTGGACATGCTCCTGTCCCTCAATGTCCTTTTTGTTATGAGGGGCTCAAAACTGATCCCAGGATTTGAGGTGCAGCTTCACCAGTGCCAAGCAAGGAGGGATGATCCCTGCCCTGGTCCTGCTGGCCACACTAGTGCTGATACAAGCGAGGATGCTGGTGGCCTTCTTGGTAGATCTGGTTTGTCATCCCACTGCTGTGCCATGCCATAAGCTCCAGGATGCCTGCCAAGTGTCCTGGGCCCAGACTGGCTGGGCTGTGCCCTTCCTGCTGGCATGGTTGACATGGGTCACATGTAGTGGTGAGGTGTCCCATATTGAGACACTGTTCTTTTGAGGCATTCCCTAGGTTTGGGTGAGCCTCCCTGAGCACATCTTTGTCCTTTGTGATGGGTAGAGAGCCCTTCTGAGGCTCTGGCTTTTTACTGGTGTGAGCCATGCGAGAGCCCTCTGTTTCTGACTTGAAAGGACTGGAAGCCCTGCTGGCATGGTTCCTCCAGCAGGAGAGATGTTGCCATCTCCATTTTTTTTTCTCCGTAGGTTGAGCAAGAGCCTCGACTGCCTGAGTCCAGAGGTCTTCTTCTGGCAGAGCAAGATCAGTGAGGTGTTGGGTGGCAGTGGTTACAACGCAGACCGGCTCAGCACACCCTACATCCCCCAGCTGACAGGTATGGACCACCCTGGAGCATCCTGGAGAAACTGGTCCCTTGCTCTGCACCATTATGGGGGTGTGAAGTTCATAGGATCATAACATCCCAGACTGGTTTGGGTTGGAAGGGACTTTAAAGATCATCTAGTCCAAACCCCCTGCCATGGACAGGGATGCTTCCCACTACACCAGCTTGCTCCAAGCCCATCCAGCCTCTCAATCTGCCCTCTTGCCACTTGAATCCATTCCCCCTCATCCCATCACTCCCTGCCCTTGTCAAAAGTCCCTCCCCAGCTTTCCTGTAGCCCCTTCAGGTCCTGGAAGTTTCTCTAAGGTCTCCCTGGAGCCTTCTCTTCTCCAAGCTGAACAACCCCAACTCTCTCAGCCTGTCTCCAGAGCAGAGCTGCTCCAGCCCTCTCCTATGTCCTGCACGTGGGCCCGTTGTTTTTTCACCTCCTTTAGAAGTCTTGGCTTTGGGACAACTTACGCACAAAGTGAACCAGAAATTTCCTGGGGGTGTCACACGTGTGGCTGGCTGAAGAGAGGGAATTGTTAAGCCCACTGGGCTTGTCTCAGTCTTCAGTTCTGCTGGTTTAGATGAGTTTTAGGAAAGTTGGGAGGGCCTTTTGACAAGGGCAGGGAGTGATGGGACGAGGGGGAATGGTTTCAAGCTGCAAGAGGGGAGATTGAGATGAGATCTGAGGAAGAAATTCTTTGCTGTGAGGGTGGTGAGACCCTGGCTCAGGTTTCCCAGAGCAGTTGTACCTGCCCCATCCCTGGAAGTGTTGGAAGGGCAGATTGAATGGGGCTTGGAGCAACCTGGTCTGGTGGGAGGTGTCCCTGCCCATGGCAGGGGGGTTGGGACTGGATGAACCTTAAGGTCCCTTCCCACCCAAACTGGTTAGGGATTCTATGCATTTGGGTGCATTTGGGTGGGTGGCTTGGATGAATGGGTACTCTGGGGGTTGGACATAAAGCTGTGTTGCCCAGGAGCTGCCTCTGTTCCCTCCTCTCTCCCCGGCGTGGCTGTAATTAGCTCTTTGCCCTTTCTCTTCCTCCCCAGATGAAGATCGCTTGTCCAAGAGGAAGAGCATTGGCGAGACCATTTCCCTGCAAGTCGAAGTGGAGTCGAGGAACAGCCCTGAGCGAGAGCAGGTACCATCTGACACCAGAGCTGCTGAGGCTGCCTCATCTTGACAGCCTGCACTAAAGTCTCTCAAATCCTTCATTTGGCTTCACACATAATCATTATTTTCCCTCTGTGCATATTTCCCTATTTATTTCCCTGTGTGCTTGGGAGCCTCTGAGGAGGTGCAAGTCCAGCCTGAAAAAGAAACATTTAAAAATACAACTTGCCAGGAAAGATATCCCTGATCTTTTAGGACAGTGTTTTGGTGCAAGAATGGGGTCAGGGATGCTGGTTTTGGGTTGCTGTGGTCCCAGAATGGTGTCCTGGGCTGTGTGTTGAGCATCATGTGCTTTTCCCCCCTCCTCTAGCGAGTACCAGCGGAGGAGATCACGTACGAGACGCTGAAGAAGGCGATAGGTAAGGGAGGCTCATGGCTGTGGTAGGGTGAGGTGGAGGCTGGTGTGGGGTGGCCACTGTCACCTCTGTGTTCCTCTGTCCACACCACGGATGGACAAGTCCCCAGCACCTCCCCATGGCATCCTGGTCACAGGGGCACCGTGCAGCTTCATTGTGCTCACAAGCCCTGGGGTTGTCTCTGTGGGGGCTTGGGCTCTTCTCCTTGGCTTTCTGGAGATGTCCAAGTCAATGTGGTCTCCTGGGGAGGTGGGGATGTGGCATGGGGTGGTCTCTATGGGTTGGGAGCAGCTGAGAGCCATCTCCTGTCTGCTTCAGTAGACAGTGTTGCCGTGGAGGAGCAGGAGCGGGAGCGGAGGCGGCAAGTGGTGGAGAAATTTCAGAAAGCCCCGTTTGAGGAGATCGCTGCCCACTGTGGAGCCCGGGTGAGTCAAGGCTGTGGCACTGAATCCTAGAATGGTTTGGAGGTGCCAACCTCCTGCCGTGGGCAGAGACACCTTCCAGATTGCTCCAAGCCCCATCCAGCCTGGCCTTCAACATGTCCAGGTGTTGCCAGTGTCTCACCACCCTTACAGCAAAAAAATTCTTCCTAATGTGTAACCTAAATCACCCCTCTTCCAGTTTAAAGCCATTCCCCCTTGTCACATCACTCCATGCCCTTGTCAGAAGTCCCTCCCCAGCTTTCCTTTAACCCCTTCAGGCACTGAAAGGTGCTCTGCGGTCTCCCTGGAGCCTTCTCTTCTCCAGGCTGAACAACCCCAACTCTCTCAGCCTGTCTCCAGAGCAGAGCTGCTCCAGCCCTTGCATCATCTTTGTGGTCCTCATCTTGACTCATTCCAATGTGTGGCTCTGAATTTTGTCATGCCACCCTCCCTGTGCTCTGGTGACCAGGGTGTTTGTCCCCTTGGCACTTCTGTGCTCCCTGGGTACAGCCACACTGATGCAGCCCCTGTGTCTGTGTTACAGGCCACGCTGCTGCAGAGCAAGCTCAACCAGATCTTCGAGATCACCATACGGTGAGTTGGGTTGAGAGCTGAGCACTCAGTGCTGCCTTTGGGACAATGGGAGCCATGTGAGTCCCCTATCAACGAGGCTTCTGTGCTGGGAGTGGGCCTTTGTGATAGCAAGAAGGGACAAAGGTTGCTGAGAACACCTCTGGTTTGTTTGCCTCAGTTCTCCTCTGCTGTGGTGGCACTGGTGAGACCTGCAATGGAGCAGAAATGCACATTTTCTGTCACAGGCTTTGATTCCTCACCAAACCACTCTGTCAGCCACCTCCTTCCATCTCACCAGTGGTGTAACCCAGGGCTCAGGGTTGGGGCCAGCACTCTTTAATATCTTTATGATCTGGATGAGGAGATTGAGGGCACCCTCAGCCAGTTTGCAGATGACACCAAGTTGGATAGCAGGGATCCAGAGGGACATGGAACAGGCAGCATCAATGCGTTGAGGCTCTGCAGAGGGACCCTGACAGGCTGGGTTCATGGGTTGAGGGCAACTGTATGAGGTTCAACAAGGCTTAATAGGAGGAGAGGAAATGAGCTCAAGTTGTGCCAGGGGAGGTTTAGATTGGATATTGAGAACAATTTTTTCTCTGAAAGGGTTGTCAGGCCCTGGCCCAGGCTGCCCAGGGCAGCGGTGGAGTCCACATCACTGGAGGGCTTTCAAAGCCATGCAGATGTGGTGCTGAGGGACATGGGTTAGTGGTGGCCTTGGCAGTGCTGGGTTAACAGTTGGACCTGGGGATCTTTAAGGTCTTTTGCAACCAAAACGATTCTCTGCTTCTTGTTTCAGACCACCACCCAGCCCCTCTGGCACCATCACAGCTGCTTATGGCCAACCTCAAAACCACTCCATCCCAGTGTATGAGATGAAGTTCCCGGACCTGTGTGTGTACTGAGGGCAGCTGTGCCCAGCTGGCACCAAAGGATCTCTTGGGGAGAGACTGCTGATGCTGCAGGGAGCCCATCCTCAGGCAGGACGGTTGGGGACACAGACACCAAGGCCACCCCAAGACTCCTTGGCAGCACAAACTCATCTCCTATGCTTCATCTGGTGATTTTCTGCCTCAGCAGCCACGTTTTGCCACAGCTGGTGGTGCAGGAGGCTTGGGGAACAGTGTCACAGGGGGGTGGGTGGTTGCCTTGACCTCCCTCTCTGGTTTCACATTTTGGGAAGGGGAAAGGAGTTGCTCTGGCTCCAGACAAAGCCCTTTGGACACACACATCTTCCCACCATAAAGCAAACCCATTCCCTGGGGAAATCCCTCCCCAAATTGTCTGTTGGCCACATCAAGAGCCCTTGGCAAGGGGCAGGGCTGAAGCTGGTGGGTGGGAGACTGTAAAAGATAGGAAGGGGATCTGGGGTGCAGTGGGCTGGAGCCTGGGACAGCCCCAAAACCAAAGCCTGCCCAAGCTGGTGCTTGAGGCAGGTTGCTCGAGGGATTTTGCATCTTCCCAGGAATATCCTCAACACATGGCTAGTTCCTCTGAGCATCTCATCCCAGTTGGAGGACTTGCCTGGTGATGCATGAGGACAGGCATTGTCCCATCCCAGCACAGGGTCACACAGCAGCCTGGCTGGTTCCAGGTCACTTGAAAAGATGGTTTGTTTGGGAAAACCCATTTTGGGGGAAAAGCCCCAGGAAAGCTGTGCCTCTTAACCAGGTCATGTGGAGGCTACTCATATGGGACTCGTGCCCACAGTAGGCAGGGACACAAGGCATGAGTAACCACCATGCTGGAGATTATTAACACATTAACCCTCTGTTTTCATATAGTTGGGTAGGGTTTTTGCAGTTTTGGGGTTCCCACCCCCAAAAAAGATTTATTTAATATTGTTGTTTTTAGCACGACCAAGTCCAGTGTTAAATCAACTTAGCCATAATCACCAAGCAAACCCAGCACCACAGAAAATAGTTGCCATAAGAAATGTTCTATAGGGTCCACCCTGCAGACCCCACATCTGGCAGGCCATGGATCCTACCTCTGCTTGGGCAATAGGATCAAACCGGATTTGGGCTGGAGGGGAGCAGAGAAGAGGCTATGGAGAGTTTTGCTTTAGACAACTGTGATAGAAAATTCTGAGTCCTACCAAGCCCAAATGGTGAGGTTAAGAGGGTAGGGATGGGGACAGAGGTCACTTGGGGCCACTTGGCTGTTCACAGGTGGTATTTTGTTGTTCATGGGGGTATTTGGTTGTTTACAGGGGTTATTCAGACATTCACAGGGGGTATTTGGTCATTCATGGAGGCATTTGATCGTTCAAGGGGTTGTTTGGTCATTCATAAGGGGCATTTTGTCATTCACGAGGGCTATTCAGATGTTCACAGGGGCATTTGGTCATTCACAGCATGTATTTGATCACTCACAGGGAGTGTTTGGTTCTTCACAGGGTATTTGGTTGCTCACAGGGTCTCTCTTGCTCCCAGACCCCTCTCAGTGTGGGTGCTCTGTCTGTTCTTGGGACCAGCCTGGGCACTGGCAGCTGGCTGGGTGCTGCCTGAGCTCACCCCCATCACCCCTTCCCCTCCAGGCACACTGCTCTTGGCTTTGCCACACAAAGAAGTGTCTAAAGCTGGAGACATGGGAGCTGCTTCTGCAGGGACTGCAGCCACCTGCCTCTGCCCGTGTCCCATGGGATTGTTTTATCCACTGCAGATCTTCCAGCAGTTATTTTAAGCTCTAATTACATATGACCATCCCTTCTTTGCCCCCCCCACTCAGTGGCAGATACAGTCCATGATTCCTCCTGGGTCACTGCTTGTTTGTGTGGCCAGGCTGTAATCCCAGCTTAGGAAATGATCTTGCTTAAGAGGACAGGAAAAACAAGGGTTTATTTTGGTCCCTGGGCTGGATCACTCACAGTGGGGCTCTGCCTGTGCCAGCCCTGCCCAGTGCCCGAGGTTCTCCCCCTGCTGCTGCCTCTCCTCAGGGCCCCTGTGTGTCTCTGTCCCTTGTCACTAAGCCCTTCTTGCTCCCCAAGCCTCCTGAAGCCTGAGTTTTGGCCAGGGTAGGTTTTGGGGTTGGCAGTGGGAGCACAAGAACAGGCTCCTTGGGGCAGGAGCCTTTGCTCCCAGGGCTGTTCTAATGAAAAGCACTAAAACTTTTTAACAAAACACAGTAGAAAAAGCAATTAACCCCCAAATCAAGTGTCTGTTCATGGGAAAACCACCTCCAAACCTCTTCATAACCACGAGGAAGGTGGGGAGATGACCACAAGGTTTGCTTGCCCTTGTTGCACATCTCAGGGTGCCCATCATCTTTTTGAGGCAGAAAATATCCTTGGCCTCTGCTCTGGGGGGGATTGGAATGTAGGTTATTCCTGTGGACCAGCCACAGATCCCTTCATTCCCAATGCTTTGCCCTTGGGACCTGGCAGTGGGGCTGGGACTGTCACCTCCTGGTTGGCTGCACTCCCCAGCATGTCCCACTGTGGCCCCTCTGTGTTTTGGGACCCAGACTTCACCTGTAACTGTCCCTGTGTAGGTGACCTGTTTGTACATCCTGTTTAGTTTAGATACTCGTGTAAGTAGAGATGACAAAGTATATTTCTATAAAGTCAGCAGTTTAGGTGCATGTGTGCATTCCCATCCCTGTATTTCCAAGCACTGTGGTGTTGGTGTGTGGAGCTGCGGGCAGGGGGTTCTAAAGGGCTGAGGAGCCCTTGATATTTTCAAATGCAACGTCTCGATGCCCTTTTCAAATAAATGTTGATGTTGCCATCATGGGCTCTGCTGACTCAGCGTGTTCACTGCAGCTGGGTGCTGTGTTTGCCCTGGGAGAGCAAAAATAATGGCATCGCAGACTGGTCTGAGTGGGAAGGGACCTTAAAGATCATAGAGTTTCAACCCCCTGCCATGGGCAGGGACACCTCCCACTATGCTTTGCCCTTGGGACCTGGCAGTGGGGCTGGGACTGTCACCTCCTGGTTGGCTGCACTCCCCAGCATGTCCCACTGTGGCCCCTCTGTGTTTTGGGACCCAGACTTCACCTGTAACTGTCCCTGTGTAGGTGACCTGTTTGTACATCCTGTTTAGTTTAGATACTCGTGTAAGTAGAGATGACAAAGTATATTTCTATAAAGTCAGCAGTTTAGGTGCATGTGTGCATTCCCATCCCTGTATTTCCAAGCACTGTGGTGTTGGTGTGTGGAGCTGCGGGCAGGGGGTTCTAAAGGGCTGAGGAGCCCTTGATATTTTCAAATGCAACGTCTCGATGCCCTTTTCAAATAAATGTTGATGTTGCCATCATGGGCTCTGCTGACTCAGCGTGTTCACTGCAGCTGGGTGCTGTGTTTGCCCTGGGAGAGCAAAAATAATGGCATCGCAGACTGGTCTGAGTGGGAAGGGACCTTAAAGATCATAGAGTTTCAACCCCCTGCCATGGGCAGGGACACCTCCCACTGGACCAGGTTGCTCCAAGCCCCATCCAACCTGGCCTTCAACACTGCCAGGGATGGGGCAGCCACAGCTGCTCTGGGTAACCTGGGCCAGTGTCTCACTACCCTCACAGAAAAGAATTTCTTCCTCAGTCTCAATCTCCCCTCTTGCAGCTTCATCCATTCCCCATCATCCTATCACTCCCTGCCCTTGTCAAAAGTCCCTCCCCAGCTTTCCTGTAGCCCCTTCAGGTCCTGGAAAGTGCTCTCAGGTCTTCCTGGAGCCTTCTCTTCTCGGGGCTGAACAACCCCAACTCTCAGCAGCTCCAGCTTTGCTGCACGTGTTTTCCATCCTTGGGTGGAGCAGGAGGTGATGGGACACACAAAGCCATCCCCTGAGATCAACATTCCAACATAAATGCTGGTGTTTTGCTGCCTGGGAAGTTTGTGAAAGGGGGGACGGGCTTGGTAATGCTTTGGCAGCAAGGAGGTGTGTGTGGGTTGGGCAGAGGAGCTCAAGCTTTTCTTCCATGTAAAAGTACTTTTAAACCTGGCTTCATCCCCCCTGCACCAACAAATTATTATTGTCCACCCCTTCACAAGCCCCAAGCACTCCCAGGGATGTTGCCAACACCTCAGTAGCTTGCAAAAAAATGTATTATTATTATTTTTATTTTATTTATTTTCTTTTTTTCTTCTTTTTTTTTTTTTTTTAGAATTATTTTACTCTATCATTTACAGTACTGTACAGCTCAGTGAAAACAGGAAAATCACCTGGCATGCTCCAGCCCCTGCTCCCTGTGTGGTCCAGTGGGCCTGGTGAAGTGGTCGATGCCTTGATCCTGCCCCAGGAGACCCCTGGGGAGCACTAATGAGGAAGGACATAACCAGTGATCTCTAAGTGAAACACATGCCAGCGGGACACTAAAGCTACAGGAAAAAGGGGGTGCGAGGGG